GTGGGGGGTATTGGGTAGGTGGGGTAAGTTAGAGTGGTGGTTAGGTTCCTGGGGGAGAGTACGTTCGCGGAGTCCCAGTGGGGTCTTGTATGTCGCGGTGGGGGTATGTTATCAGCTGGAGGGATAGCAAGAGGAAGAGTCAGAGGTGGACATTCAGTGCAATATTGTCTCCTTGCGGAGCATTGGCATAGGTTGGCATACATTGCCAAGAAGAAACAGTTTGCGCACATTGCATAAATTACCACCCTTCCCCCTCCCCGCATCTGTATTGTACATTCCAGGTTGTTGTTACGGGAGATGGCCGCGAGGCCCGGGGCACACGTAGGAGTGACCCCCGGTGCCACGGGCGGGGGGAGGGAGGTGAGCACACCCCACCCAACGAAGCAAATCAGCCACAGAATGTGATGAGGTAACTCAATCGTAGGATACACCAAGAGTAAGCATATATAGTTGCATTCTTCCTTGTAAGTAGCCCAAGATTGCTTTCACAGGTGTATACATGGTTCAGGTATATAAATATTTTCTCCCCTTTCCCCTTGTCCATGTGAAGTATGGGTGTTCTGTGTTATTGCTATGCCAGCCCCACACACCCCCCCAGGGGCCCAGTCACCCCTCCCATCCCCTCACAACCCTAAACGGGGGGAGGGGAGTGGAGGGCAAGCACTCCCCACTTGTAGAGGTAAATAAGTTACAGGTTAAATCTCGAGCATGCATATACATTTACCCTTATCCCTGTTAGCGGTTTGGGGTCATATTCGCAAGTAAATATTTGGCTTTGGCATTCAATACATTCCTCTCCCCTCCCGGCAGCGCTTCTCTCTCCACATCCGTGTGTGAAGTGTACAGGCTGTGTGGCATGATTGGGGGTCGGGGGGTGCAAACAGTATGTGAGTTGTTGCATGAGTGGATTGGATATGGTGTGTGGCGTCGGCCCCTGGAGTGGAGTCGGGCCTTGTGCCAGTGGGGTCCTGAGGTGGTACTGTACATGCAAGTGCCTGGGGTCTCGGAGCCTGTGAGTCAAGCGAATGTCCATGGTTCCATCAATATGGGCGCTGTGGGAATCAGTGTCCTGATCCCTGCAACTGTTGTACAGTGGGAAGGGGAGTCCGGTGGCATCTGGTTAGGTGTTAAAGTCCAGGTGGTTGGCATAGCATCAGGATGGCCCAAAAAAATAGTGGATTCTGTGCTGTTAGAGGATGGATGTAACAGGCCGCAGCTCATGTCTCTTGCAAAGTGTTGTTTAGGCCAGGTCTTGGAATAACTGCACTGGGTCCCCGTCAATGAGCATGGGTGAGTCACTCACAGCCTTCATTATAGCCTCTTTAGTATGGAAGTAATGAAGGCATCTTATTATGTCCCTTGGTTGTGAAGGGTTAATGGCTGGGTTGCGTAGGGCACGATGGGCTCTGTCCAGTGTCATGGATTTCGGGAGCCCCTGTATCCGGATGTTGTTCCCGCCTGGACCTGTTGTTAAGGTGCTCTTGTGCTTTTTCAAGTAAGGCTATTTGCTCTCTTAATTCTTGGAGAGTGTCCTCATGGTTGTTGGAGGTTGCAATTACCCTTTCAATCTTATCCTCTGCTTCATGTGTCCTCCTGGAGAGGTCTGCTAGGCCTTCTGTTAGTGGGACCTGGTGTTTTGTCAGCTTCAGTTCCAGGTGGGATTTTATGTCTGCTGATAGTTGCAGGAGGTTGAGTGGCGTGGAGTCGGGCTTTGCTAACATCAGAGTCGAAGTCTGAGACCCGTTGATCTACCGCACGTGGCACTTCTTTCTCAGGCCTGGAACGGAAGATTGGCACCACTGCCAACCCGGACTTGGGTTTTTTGCAGAAAACCATATAACTGTAGGGGGTTCGTGGATCTTTTTGAGTCTATTTGGGTGCAGTCTGTTGCTAAATATTGCGTATGTAGCACCCCAGTCTGTGGAGCCTCTGAATTGTGCGTCCTTCTACATCGAAGGTTAGGTGCTGCCGTTTATGGTAGCTTTAAATAATAAATATGTTCTTGAATCACTAAGTAGATCTGCTAGATAACAACCTGGCTACAGTTTTCAAACTAAGTTTTAATTCACCATAATTCACTATTTAGGTAAATACATACTATTTTAATACATCATAAATATATTTGTATCCTTTTAGGAGAAAGTATATTTTCCAAAATGTAATGTTATCACTTCTTGACAAATCTAGGACACTCTGATAAGCATATATTATTAAACAAAATTAAAATAATTAGTAATTATACTTAGTGCAACCAGGATATCTGATTTCATTTTAATCATTTAACTAATTAAACATAAAAAATATATTTCCCCATTTCTTTATTTGAAATAGTGGATAACATTCTTTGAAGTATAATAGCCATTAAAATTTTACTTTTTTATTATTTTTATTATATTAATTTAAAATAGATTAGTAACTGGGGTATTAATGTTTACAGAACCTGTTTTCTTATATAAAACTGAAACTCAAACATTATCAACTGCCTCTTATTATGACAATCCTAAAAATATTTATATTGAAAAATGAGTTGCTAATAACAAGAACTAAAAAAGCACCATTAAGGAAAAATATACAAAATCTCATTTTAATATACCCAGGTGTATCTACCAGTAAGGTGTTTTTTTTTCATTAATCTATTGGTTGCATGGCAATAAGAAGAACTGTCTGTATACTGAGCAGACTGGTCTCCCAATAAGATTTTTTTTCCGGACTATGCAAATTGTGTTTTGAAGTTTAACCAATGGGAACTGTAGCAAGGCGAATGAGATCGCCTTTATATACCAGAGATAAAGAAGGTGTTAATTGAACACTGATGTCCTGAGGAAGCCTACGGAAAAACACATACACGTGGTGACGTCATAAAGGGGGGCGGGAGCAGACTTTGACCTGCAGCATTCAAGTTGAAATAAACATTTGATTTACAAGTTGATTTACTGGATGCTTTTAACTGGATTGATTCAGTGAAGCGAGTACACCAGAGCCCGCACCACAAAGCCTGCACTACACCAGTGGGTTGCTGCATCTATTTGTTCTGTATTGAACAAAAGCGCTTGTGAGTAACAGCGGACAGATGTACATACTCACCTTCTGACATCAAGTAAGAGGCTGATTTTAACATTGCACTGTTTTTGCACACTGCACTTCTTTTGTCTCATTGTACATTATATGTCTATTGTATTTTATTTGTTTCTAAATTGTTAGTAATGTACTCATTCAAGATACAAGTTTTTTATATATATATATATATATATATATATACGCATGGGCGTCCGCAGGGGGGGCACTTGCCCCCCCGGATTTGGCATGTGAAATTTCCCCACGCTTTAATTTGAGCCCGCCCGGCCCCTGAGTACAATTGCGAGTAGTCCTCCTCAGGTCGGGCTCTGCACTGCAGTCTTTAACATCCTCAGGGGGAGGCAAGTGCCCCCCCCCCCCGAATTTGTTAGAGTTTCAGTGACTCAGAACCCGAGCTGAAATGATTGCGGCATGAGCCGTCCTTGGGCTCTGACTGCCGCCCCCTGTGAGTAGATGCTCTGATGCTCCCTGTTTCAGCCATTCAGGGGCATCGAAGTGGGAATGAAGGAGGAGCCTGTCATGGACCTGTGCGGGCCGGGATTTCCTCCAAGGCGTGGTCCGCGGAAGGATCTGTCTGTGTGGGTGATAGACACAGACTGACAGTGTGCGTGCAGGGTGTGCCTTGATGTTGAAGAAGAAGACAGCCTGCCTGGTGGTAGACAGCAGTGACGGCACAGCAGTCCTTCCTGAGTCCTCACTTCCAGTTCCAGCCAGCCAGCCTTCCCTTGCTGCATTCTTAAGGTCAGTAGTACTAGCCAATGCCATCTATCCTATCCTAGTAGGCCTGGCCCCTGGCCCCTGGCCCCTAGTCTCCCACTGTGCCAGTGCCACATTATAGATGCTTCTGACCTGCCAAGCCACCTAGCCAGCCTGCGAAAGTGCCAAGCCACCTAGCCAAGCCAGCCTGCCAACTAGCCTCCTACCCAGCCTGCCAACTAGCCACCTAGCCAGCCTGCCAAGCCATCTAGCCAGCCTGCCACCTAGCCAGCCTGCCAAGCCATCTAGCCAGCCTACCAACTAGCCACCTAGCCAGCCTGCCAAGCCACGGCCACCTAGCCAGCCTGCCAAGCCATCTAGCCAGCCTGCCACCTAGCAAGCCTGCCAAGTCATCTAGCCAGCCTTCCAAGTCATCTAGCCAGCCTGCCAACTAGCCACCTAGCCAGCCTGCCAAGCCACGGCCACCGTGACCTAGCCAGCCTGCCAAGCCATCTAGTCAGCCTGCCAAGTCATCTAGCCAGCCTGCCAACTAGCCACCTAGCCAGCCTGCCAACTAGCCACCTCTAGCCAGCCTGCCAAGCCATCTAGCCATCTATCCAGCATGCCAACTAACCACCTAGCCAGCCTTGGATTAGGTATCATCAGATATATGTATGTATGTATAGTCTCTGATGGGGCTGGAGGGGACTCTTTCTAACATATACCCTCCAGGACCCATTTGTCTCCATTGTATGTAGTCTCTAATTTGTATGTATATGTATTTAGCCAGCCAGCCAGCCACATTGACCTGCCAGCCTGAGCCAGCCACAGCTGAAAGCCAGCCACAGCAGCCAGCCAAAGCAGAAAGCCAGCCAGCCACATTGGCCATCCAGCCAGCCACAGCTGAAAACCAGCCAGCCAATCGGAGCAGACAGCTAGCCAGCTACAGCAGCCTGCAACCGTTATTAAGGTGAGAGGAACCAGCTTGATACCCAGATATCAGTTATGTGTATGCAATGTATTTATGTTTGTATGTACATACACACACACCCACATATATATATATATATGTATATATATATATATATATATATATATATATAAACGTATTCAATCAGGAGCACTCACTTGGATTTTCGAAATGTGTGTATAAAGTGTTAATCAACCTACATCAACGTTTCGACCCTTCAGGGTCTTTATCAAGATCTTGATACAAACAAATGGCAAAAATGACACTTGAGCAATACAAATGCCACATTGCAAACATCAGAGAAATGTACAACTTCGAAAATCTGGAAGCCGAAGCAATCACGTGGTATGAGATCTGGTCAGCAAAGATAGAACAGTTTGATAATGGATTATTAGATTTGCTAAACCACACAGATTTATTTCCATCAGTCCAGCAAGCAATTCTTGTTGCTCTCACTTTACCAGTGACCACTTGTACAGTGGAATGGTCATTCAGCACTATGAGAAGGGTGAAAACCTGGTTGAGGTTGACCATGGCCGATGAACGCTTATCGGGTGTGTGCATGATGAGCATACATCGAGTAAAAATTGAAGAAAACAAACAGCAGCTGATTGGAAAAGTAATTGATACATTCGCACAAGGCCACAGGCGTTTGCAGTACCTTTTTCAAGATCACTAACCAGTGAACAAAAAATGTTTAAAGCTACTCATTGGAAAATGGCTTGTGCTGGCTCTGCCCCTGATCTGTCTCCTTGTCTCAGCCAATGCTTTTCTATGGGCAAACATTGTGGTTGGCTTTTGATCAACACGTCTGATGATGACAGCCAGGCAGGCAGATCAGAGGCAGAGCCAGTAGCAGCTGACTACAATAAAGTTAAGATTTTACTATATTAAGGGCTTAGCAGGAAAACTAGAAGATGTTTTAACACTATAGGTTCAGGAATACATGTTTGTAAACGCATTTCTCTATTTTTATATATCAATTGGATCTTGGAAATGTAACTCTCTTCAAAGAACTTATTTTTAGTGCTCCACCTATGTATGTATATTTGCATTTTCACATCAGGTTGGGAACATTTTAGACTCCCAGACACATCTGCATCCTTTTCTGCAACTGGATTTCACCTTTTCCACATGAAACACAACGTTGACTAGTGATCTCAACCAATGTGATCAGTCAAGCAATCAGGCACCACAACTACTTATCATGCTGGTCCATATAAAGGAACTATCTTTAGAACATATCCATCAATGAAGTTTCCAGGAGTCCCTCACAAAGTCAATGTTAACCTCCTTCCCTCCAAAATGTGTGTAGCCAATAAATAACTGTTCCAGTCTGTTAACCTTTACTCAATTCCTCACTAATTGATACTTAGTACAATTGCCCCTCTCAGTGGGTGTAATTTATAAATATCTATTCTGGTTTTAAAAGGGAAAAGTTATTTTAACACATAAAAAAATCATGAAATTAGAGATGAGTGAGTAGGACAAAGGGACAAAAAGTAACAGATCCAATCTCTTGAGAGACAGTAACAATTTGCCAATGACATTGACTCCCAAATGGCATTCAATGCTAGTGCATTCCACATGCTGTTAGCATGAACACACAGTGTCTTGCTCCAACCAATATGGTGGGATATTTAGGCTCCACGAACAACTTCCAGGGTTCCCACAGCCATGCGCAAATTGTTACTTTAATTTGTATTAATAACTTCTGAAGCAAAAGGCCCGATATCAATTAACACTAGTGCATGCTTAGGAAAGCAATGTTTTATTGGTCAAATTGGACCATTAGGTGATATATCTGCAAATAACTATATCGCCATATTTTGTAACCAGTGACACAGCTCTTTTATTCCTTAGAGGAGATACAGTTGATCACAAGTGGAGCACACAGAACTCTTAGTTAGCTGATCCTGCAAATCTGGATACCCCAAACATATGCTAATAACTTCAGAACTCTGGTTGTTCAAAGGAACAGTTTATATGTGTCCCACACCAATTCTAACGTCATTAAATATTTATGTCACAGATCTTCCTTTGGCTTAGCATATTTGATAAAGTTAACATATATGAAGACATGCAAAGGACTAACTAGTCCAGGTAATATCGGAAAGCATATTTTGCCCTCCTGTTCCATTTACATTTATATCATGGACACTCCAGGCAATACAGTTATTATTGTATTAGAAATGAAAAAAGGAGGGAAGCACTCCAGTAAGCTGTGCAACAAGTTCTACCACATTTATTGAAGAACAAAGATATTTAGCAAACCGTTTGGGCAACGAGCAATGACAAGATGCACTGAAAAAGGGTTTGTTCCCCAAAACATTTGCTAAATACCTTTTTTCATTTCTGGTTTTGTGTACCCACTGATGGAGCCACAGTGTGGAGGGTAGAGCAGCACCTCAGACTCTTTTGAATATTGCATTGTTTACGCTGTTTGTTGGCACCTAGGTTAAGTCTCAGTCTCATGTCTAGTATATGTGGTCTATTGTATTAAGGTCAATCTATGATTTTCTAGTGTGTTTAAACAGAGCAGGCCATTATTTTCATCGCTAGGAACATGTTTGAAAAGGATATTAAGAATTTGCAAGGAGAATAAAATATGTAGAAATGAAATTCTCGAAGAATTCTGAATGATATGTTAGAAGAAGTTATTGAAAAAAGCCAAATTTTTAAGCATGGTTATATTTCAGTCTTTTGGATTTCATAAATTCTTTGATACCAAAATAGTGAATGCTTATAAAGGACATGTATTTGTAGTTGGTACTGAAAACTGTGTAAACAGTTGAGAAAATAATTAACGTCAGCTTTATCTATCAATCCAGCCATTTAATATATAACATTGCAACTAATGTCAACATCTTAAAATGTCTCACGAGTATTTCAGAAATATTGTTTTCTACAATCTTCCCTAGAATTATGGGATTAGATAAATATTTAAAACAAACCGTGCGTTTTGTAGCATGTGTTGTCATGTTAACATAAATGAATTCACTACAAGGCAAAATCTAGCCAGTAGAACATATTGATTTTCTCAAAGTTCCATTTATTATTCTGCATTAAAATCAGGTTAATATATTGTATTATTGATTACTTGCACTTTAACTTTCGTAATCACTACTGACAAAATCCTCTTATTATAGTTGTCATCGTCAACACGCCTTTGCTTTTCATTTGTAATAAATCAGACATTGCTTCTGTTATATGGAAGATTATCAAAAGTGGCATGTTATGTAGAAAAAAAATACAAACGTGGATAACTATGAAAACATTCATCTGCATTTGAAAATAACATAATATTTTGGTAAATGCTTATTTGGTTCCATCACCCTAGTTGCTCCAAGTGAATTATGTGGGAGACATCTCTGAAAAAGCCTCACAAACGTTGTCTATCCATATATATGAATGGGGATCTTGCTTGATAATTCTCTGTGCGAGATTAGTTGACAGGAGTCTGTGTGACAAAACTTGACAAAGCTCTGTATCACTTAAACATTGCCCGCTTTTACATGTCTTAACAGCATAAGACTTTCATCTTTATTCTTTAAATATTCCACAGTCAGTCAAACACAAAACAGGAGGGGTAAACCTGAAATAAACAGAAGAAAATAGATGCTTTTTTGACTCTCCAGCCATCAGGACTCCTTATTTTCTGACCCTTTATTAGTAGGAGAGGTTCATACTATTGGACCAGGAAGTTCAGAGTCCACTTGGCTCTAGTGGCAATATGGAAAACTTGTAAGTGGCCAGGCAAAACAACCCTCATCTGGAGAGTCCCAGCATTTGAAGTAAACCATAAATAAATAGTTTAGGTGACCACAGTAGCAAATGAAATTCCACCAGTTTATTGAGGTTACATACAAGCAAGCTAGTAGCCTCTAGTCCTGCATTATTTGGATGGGATAATCTCACACAAGATGTGAGGTAGGGGCTGTGGTTTCTTGCCAACACCTATCCTTTAGAATACTAGGAATTCCTGCTTAATGTATTTTTGAAAGACGAGAGACATTTGCCACTGACATAGATCACAAGATAGAGCTCTAACTGCAGCATTTCAGAGTCGTGGGTTTGATTTTGGCAGGGCAAAGTTCGTCTTTTATTCATCCAAAGTCAATAAAGTAGATATAATTAACTTGGGTAAGAAGAGCACCTAGATCATCTAGAGAGACATATTTGAAAATGAACAGAAGATATGTGTGATTTTCTGCATTAAGACTTTAATACTGGACCTATGGCCGATAGGTGCAGTGAGCTGCTCCATATTGCAGGCCGTGCAGGGCTTTCCCTTCTCTCTTGCATGGTTGCCTTCTCAAGGAGGAAGTAAGCTGACATTAGCGAAGAAAGGTAATATAGGATGCTGTGTGCCCTGGTGTTCTCCCCTCCAGACGCTGGCAGACGCAAAGCTCTGAAGGGAGCCGCCAAGCTGTGCAAGGGCTGCCGCCTATGCTGCCTTATGGGTAGTCCAGTTCTGACCACACTCAGTATTACCAGAATGACTGCGAAGAGAATGGTGCTCCAGACAAAGGAGATGGCCTCAGCTTCTCATTTATATAGTATAAAAAGGAAAAAAGGTCCAGGTACTCTAAGTGCTCTAAGTCTTGACAGCTTTTTAATGGAACATATGTTTCAGTCACAGCCCAAGGTTCTGGAAAGCTCACACAAAATATATGTGATCAGTTACATTAAAAAGCTGTCAAGATTTAGAACACTCAGTGCCTGTAGCTGCGTTCTTTTATATACTAATCACTAACCAGAAAACTCACTAACGAATAGCACATTTTAGTGGAATTAGAGAAATGTAGATACTCACCTATGGTTTTAAATTGGTTTTATTTGGCCTGACTTTTCCAATTAAGTTGTCGGTCCACCTTAAATTCCAATTTAGCGAATAAACAACTCACATCCATATCATGACAGTGCTTGTCATTTTGTCAACTGTGTGATGGCGCTGAGAAGCTCCAATGATACATAAGTGACAGGCGAGTAAACCTGACATCTGTCCATATTCTTGCACAAAGCATCTCGTTGTGTATTTCCATGATCCTCAAATTTTATTTGTCATCTAAGCTGAAATCGATACAAGGATATCAGATGTGTGTGGGAGCAGATTAACTCAGCACCATGTGGCTCAGGCAAGCTCTGAAATAAAATCAGACATTTACAGAGTATTATCTCTAATCTGAGGCTTTATCAATGCTTATTAGCACTTATGTATTATTGAATAACCAAACTCACTGTTGAGAAAAGGTCAATAATTCCACAGATGCTGATTTTTTTTTTTAACTGCTTTATTCAAAATAATACAGCAAGCACAAAGGAATCAGTGCACTCCATGTAGCGATTATACAGGGTGGTAAAATAACAAAAAAAAAGTTATATGGAATTTTTTTCCTGCTACTGGGTTGTGAATATCAATTTATTTATTTTTAATCCTAATTTAATTTAAGAATTAAAGTTTTTTTTTTATTTCTTTCAGGAAGCCTTTTCCAATGGTTAGTGGATGAGGATTTGTTGACATTATTTGGCAACATAAGAGAATGATAAGAAATGATCCAAACATTTATTTAAAAATATATTTTAGAGGGATATGTTAAAACATCAACTGCCTCCATCAACTCCGAAGTCCCTCTGGTACACTCTGAGTGACTGCAACTGGAGGTGTTCCTAGCTTTC